CTCATAACACGTACTTGGCAATTATTGTGCCCTATCTAAAGACTAAATGCAACCTTATCGAAAATCGTACCACTAAAAACGTATTAACAGCCCAGAAGACGTTATTATTTTGTGACCAGAACCTTGATGGTCGCTACTAGCGACACATCACGGACACAAATACTGTAGAAATAGTTACACAAAGCAGAAAATTTAATCACAACGCCAATAAATCTATGTATTAAGAGTAAAAAACATTAAAATTAGAGCATTAGCGTAAACTAAAATATCTAACTCCAGTTCTTACAACTCAGCACTGGTATATAGCGATAATTAATATTTTTTTAGGATATTGTGAGTGAAATTATTTTAAAAGAACAACTGCTTTTTCTTCGTTGAAATAAATTGCTTCATGACCGTAGCCGATAGTTTATGTATTTCATGATGTGTGAATCTTGTCCCGGTAAACAACGAGCGACTTTAAAGTGTATTTTATGTATTGAAACTTTATGTGATGATTGTAGTGTGGCGCATCAGCGTGCTAATGCTAATCGTCTCATTTTTTACATATGGTATGAGTGTATTATGTTTTAGTCCAGAAAATGATTAAGGAGCGGTTTCTTAGAAATTATGATTGGTGTACTATGTCACTTGGTTTAATAGAAATCTCTTTATGTTCATTCTTGAATTATTTTTTAAAATAAGTTTTCTTGTTTTTTAAAATTCGTTGTCTGGACTATTAAAAAGGCGAAACGTCATAATTTGTTACTTAGTTCAAGTTATTTATACCATTACCTGATTGTACTGTTCATGAATAGGCATAACCTAAAATTGTAGATATAAAATGAAAAGAACAGATGAAACTGTCAGTACGTAAACCCAAATATTATTTATGTTTTTGAAAAATATATCTTCATACAGCGCAGCGTTTGCTGCAGTTATGGTAGTAGTTATATGTCAGTATTTTATCCATAAACGAGACATAAGTTCTGCTGTCATTATAAATATATATAAACAACAAAGCTCAAGCCAGAAATCACTTCCACATGGAAGATTAATAACGTGAAAGCGATAAGCTTGAGTATGACAAATCTGGCAAACCAGAGTCTCATGACTTGTTGATGCTGGAATTAAGAATTACATTTATAATATCTTAAAATTTCGTTTTATATGTCGTATAATTTTGCTCTATCATCTTACATTTCCTGACATTTTTTATCTTCAAATTTCATTTTACTGTAATAAAAAAAACTACTCCATCTTTTTCGCATTTTTCTTTACGTGATGGATGAAAACCTTGCAAACAAGGAAGTAATGCTGTATTTGGAATTGTATCCGTTGTTGGAGAGAACCCAAAAATTTTGGTATCGCACATATCACATTCTTTGAAGGTTTCCTCCATCTGTTAAAAAAAGCATTCAGTTTAATTCAAAACTAATCGAAGAGTGAAATTTATAGTAGCAAGCAGACTTTACAGTAGCAAGCATTTTTGGTAGTTTACTTACAGCAACAACAAATAACAAATAAAGTAATTTAATAATCAAATAATACAGAGATCTATGAAGTTGAGTATAAATTGAAGACCATGATAGTAATAAACTGGTTTGAACAAGTATTCACAGATATTAATAAAAGTACTGTTCGTTTAAGAATCGACTTTTTTCATAACAATTGTGTCCAAAACCACTGAGTGCAATTTTACTACAGCTAGATATTTTTTTTCCTTGCTTTATTTTCCCATGAATAACTACCAAAATATTTAAAAAAGTTCGTAAAACTTGTTCTTATAGAAAAACAGTTTCTTCACCTCATCTCAAGCAATGGAGTAGATACTGTTCACCTTAAAATAATATGAAGCAAGCTTAATAACAGTGAAGTGCTGATTGCTTTTAATGACTGAAGCATCATACACACTCAGTTGCAAATAACTATATCATATGCACATAAATTCACACAAATGAACTAGCCGGTATATATTATCTTCATAAAAACACACAAAATACATGAGTGCACATAAATTTTTCAAGTGCATCCACATAATTTATAAATAAACACATACACCAGCACATAAACATGAATCTGTTATATGTATTTATTATCTGCCCATGAATTGGGGTACGCGGAGCTAAACACAAATGACCGTAGGATCCTCACATGCTACCAAACACTAGACATGTAATATGCAAAAGGATATAAACATATATTCTCTAATTTGTTACATGTGTTATTAACGAATTTAAAAAGCGTAATTACACAGTGCAGTAAATGACTGTCATGACTTGTCATCACTTAATGAAGCGACATTAATCGGCTTATTCCAGATCTAAGTTGTCAGTCTTTTTCCACAGTAATCAAATACTCTATCTCATTAATAACGAAAGGATAGCTGTAAGCATTCTGAATGCATTGCCAAAGGTACTACAAAGATTAGTCAATAGTGCGCATTATACAACGAGTTATTATAACCTGAACACGCAATTCCGAGACAAAGTTGACAATTTTAGTTGTGAAAAGTTGCAGCATTTATGCGACTTTCCAAGTCATCCATCGCTGCCAAATTATGGAAAGTAATGAGCGAACATACAGCGGGAATATTTTGTGAGAGTCAGTATAAGAGGATATAAGTTGGTTCAATATTGCATACATTGAATTTTCGGTGATGTAATATCTCAGTTCATTGAGGTTCCTGGAAACTACATTTCTCAAATCAAAAATGCCATGACATCTCATCGTCCACTTAAATTAAGAGATCACAATATGAAACCTAACCACCCCGTATGTGTAAGCATGTTTGTTATATAAATATACTAAAAGGATAAAAGTTCCATTTCATTTCTTTGGCTAACTATTGAAAGTGACTTCCATTCAGGGAGCTTGGCATTAACAATTGTTCATTTCACGAGTTTTACGTAAGCAAACTATATATACAGGTCCTAACCAATATGACCTGTACAGGTCCTTACGATAAGATGATATAGCAACCACTTCCTACGTGCGTGCAACGCAACTAATGAGATCCATACACACAAAATTCAGAATGAAGTAAATTTGCCCATTTTTCTCCCTCCCACTCCCTCACGTTTTTTTTTGTCCTGCAATCTCTACAACAGATTTCGCAATATATCATGAAATAATTTTGTAATGCAGCTTTATGGCATAAATAATGGTTCGAAGTGAATGTATCAAGCTAGTTCAATGTATATGTTTGTACCATTGAACTGGTTCTAATCCAAAAATAACAAATAACTTTCCACATAGTTATTCATATATAGTTCGTTATTTGACATCAATTAACACACAAATGGAAACCATAGCGCCTCATCCACAAACTTTTACTTTTATGAATGAAAATCAAGTCAGTTCCTTACATTTTATCACAGTATTCATTCTCATTGAGATGACAGAAAACCTTACATCATCTTACGGTAATAAATACTGTCAATATATATTACTACTATTCTTCAGATTGAAGTATTAAGATGAATGTGCAAACATAAATCAACTGAAAATGTTTTCAGCATGAATTTATAGTAAGTTTTTCCCATAGGCATAAGTGTTGATGTGGAGAAAAAATGTAGAAAATGCAGTTTATTCCTACAGAACATCATCGATTGTGAACACAGAACACTTCAAACAAACTGGAGCTGATTTTGTTCAGTACCACATGCATAAATTTTTTAATAAAACGTAAAACAACAAAAAGTCCGATACAATCGGAGTTAAATACACAAGCTCATATTTGATGAAATGAAACAGTTTTACTGAAACAAAATGAGTTTCATTTTGTTTCAGTAAAACAAAATGAAACTCATTTTGTTTCAGTAAAACTGTTTCATTCACCAGTTAAAATCGCGAAAGATGTGATAATTGGATATCATTGCCCCAGAACCTGAAGTGTCATTTTGGCCAAGAGAAAATGGAGAGGTTTTAACTTGAATAAATGCCAAAACCGCAACTAAACAGGATAAAACTAAAGAAAAAACAGCAAATGTGGTCAGAGTTATTGACTAGCCACAAAGGGATTCAAGCATCGTCTAGAATGATAGATCAGATGCTTCTTCAAATATTAATCTCAGTCAAACAATAAAAAGAGTACAAGTGAATAGTGATAAAACATTGCTATCCATAATGAAATAGAATCCACAGGATGTTTAAATAAACAGTATATATGGCTGAAACCAGATGAGATACAAGTTTAAGATTTGATAAAACTTTATATCAGTAATACACAAAAACTTTCTAGCAATGAAAGAGTTTACTGACATGTGGCAAAGTCTTTTCATTTGGTCCCAAATCTTAGTAACATTATCAATTTATTTTCACATTGTCCTAATGCAGTTTCTTGCGTATCATTGTTACCAATTTCAGATACAAAAAAACTTAGAAATAATTCCTAAAATCTTCAAAAATTTTCATTTTCAGCTGAAAAAGAGAAGGAAACCCAAACACATGCTAGAGAAAAGTTACAACTCTGTCGTTTTCTGTCTCCATTACATTCTAAATCAGTACATAAAAAGATGAAAATAGCTTGCCACATTCAGTTTTCTAATAAAATGAGTTGAAAAATGATTTAAATAGCACCATGATAAGAATGTGATGCATGGTCACTTAAGTCAGTAGTATCCAATTCAACATCATCCCTTGCCTGTAAAGGATCAGTTACCTGAGATGTGACCCTTCCCTCACCCGTTTCATAACGACGTCGCGATGGACGCTCACCAAACAGGCGTTCTGGATCGTCAGCCGCCTGAATAGAGCGAGCATAAGCACGCATCTGACTAAAGAGATCCTTTGAAGGGCGCTGATGCAACATCTGCAGAATGTGTATTATACGATGTAGGCAAACAGCAATAAAATCAAACAATTTCGGTTTGAATTTAACCAGAAACAGTACTTCTTGCAAATAAGCAAGGTAAGATAAAAAAACTCACTGTTTCATCAAAAACGTTCTCTTCACTGGAATCCAATATTCCTTTTTCTCCAAATTCTTTACGATCATAACGGGGATGACAAAAATGACTAGCAGGAATAGTAATCGGAAGCGAAGTACCATACAACAATGAACCAACGGTTTTCTGTATCGGTTCCAGCTGCCCATTACCATCAGCATCTGCCGCCTCCGCTCTTAGGTGACTCGCACGCAGGCCTATAATATAAAAAGTATTAACTACCGAATCAGCTACACAGAAAATGATTGATTATAGTAGTTGGAAGTAGGTTGATTGCAGTGTCCTTTCTACAAATCGTAGGTAACAAATAAGAAATGGTTGAATTAAATGCTAATAAATTTCTCACTAACAAATAATGGAAAATAATATGTTACAACTTTAGCGCGATCACTGAAGTTATGAAATAGAGAAAGGAGATTATAAATATGCTCAAACGAAACCTAACAGTAGGCCTTCAGCTTGGAAGTGTAATTAAAAAGCCAATGCATGGCTTTCCAGTAACAAATTATTTGAAAATTTTCAAATATCAACAAGCTATGCTCTATTTGACAAGATTACAGGTTTCTCTACATCGAAGCTAGAAGAAATTGTATTATAGTGAAAAAAATGCACTCTCTGCTGATATTCAATAATTTTTATTCTCCTTTGTAAGTGGCCAGAAACTTAAAACATTGAAGTTATAACAATCAAATACAGAACAGTAAGCACATTTTTATGAATAGTTGAAAGTCTACAAAACGTCTCACAAATAGAAAAAATATACCTGTACAGCCTCCGAAGATATTGGAATATGCATCAGACATGCCATGATTTCCAAAATCTGCAAATTGAAATTGTAATTAAGGTTTGAGAATAACCTGATTTTAACTTTTTGGTCTAATCCATTTTTATGCTGCAACTAACACTTCATCATTGATATCTCAAATGAAAAATGATCAATACTTTGTTTTCAGAAACATAAACACTGTTTATATTTGTATATGAGCAGAATATATGGAAGTTCTAGCAAAGTTGGAGTCTTCAAAACCAAATTTTCATAATCACCCTTAATAGTTTTGAAGAAAAATAAACAAATTACTCATAGTGATACATAAAACATATGGGGACAGAAGTAAAACTACCATCAGATATAGCTTCATCAAGCAATCCTTCTTTATTTGTATTATTAGCTTCATTTTCCGCAATGATATCTTCGTCAAAAGCGAACAAGCCTTCTCCAACTACTGCAAATGTTTACAAAATTATAAAGTGATAAATTAAAAAAATTAATTCGGAATGCATTCCAGCAACTATTTATGACAATTTAGGGCTGCTAAGTATTTTATTAAAAATGACAAATGTCAGGTACTTTATGCATTAATAGATCAATAAAATTCAAGAAGAAGTAAAAATAAAGAGATCTGAGAAGCATACGTTCTTCGCGATCTTCATCATCCGAATCCGTACCCTTCTTCGGGCTATCCTTCGAAACGACGTTAGAAAAACCATTGAATTGCAAATTGCGCTCCAGTTTCTTGTCCGAGTCCATTAGCTTAAAGTGAAGATAACATACAAGAAGTAGACGAGGAAGGAAATAAAAAAAGCGTCACATATATTTCTATTATCCTATCAGTATATTCTAGCCAGCCTACAAAGTAAGGAAATAAAATAGCCAAAAGTGGAACCAAATACTAAAATATTAACACATCCAACCAGAAACCCACAAAGAAAAGAGAAATCCGCCGCTCACGACCGGACCAATCTGAAGAAATGACTCGCACGCAAGCACGTGTTCCTTTTAATTCTCTTTCGAGTAGACAGAATCTAGCATGTGCCATTCGATCAGTACATCCAGAAAAATCAATAACTGCAATGAGGTAAAAATGGTAATGACGAAATCCACTTGTTCTCTGCTCTTTATTGTATACAAAAATGACAGCGCACAAGAAGAAAACAATAACTAACCAGGCCGAATGCGGCCATTTCTGAGTGATCCTCGACAAACGCCTTTAGCTTTGTGGCCCTCTGGCAAAACGAATTTGATAATAAACCTACCAATGTTTTCACCACGTTCGAATTTTGTTATCTGAAAAAACATTCCTCAAATTTTAGAATTTTCATTTACATATTCATGCATCTATCTATTATTCAATCATCGTCGTTGTTCTGGACTTGGTTTTTAACGACAACAATACAGAAATAATAGTAATAATGAAATAAATACTATTGATATTTATGTAATATCAATTATTACAATATTATATAATACCTAAATAATAATAACGTAGAAATAGATCATCATTGTGCACGATATGAGATGAAGAAACGACTACAAACATTTTTTGTTTGTTTTCTTTTTTCTTCCGTTATAGAAAAAAATAGTTTATGTAAATACTCATTTCTTCCAAGCATTTCTCCAGCTTGATTTCGGTAAAAAATGAATTATTCGAAACAGGCACAGCTGACTTGAGCGAATACAAAGCATGACTATTAAAAAATTGAGTAAAAAAGAAAAGCTTCGAATTCACAAATTATGACTGAGCTAGGAATCTACACTGTTCATTATGAATATGATGACATTTAATCTCATTAGAAAAATGAGTAAAAACTGCTATTATACGAAGCTGATTAGGTACTAACAAGATCGAATAATTGAAAATTCATTTCAAGTGGATGACAAAATCTATTATTTTTTAAATTATATAAAAATTATTTATTCAAATGAAATTATTTTTACTTTGTCATTGTTCTTTCTTTTGAAATATGTACTAATAATACTATGAATAGCGTCATTAAGATAATTTCAAACAAATGTGAGACACGAGCCTAGTCCATATAATAAAACAAATTAACCTACAAACTTCTTGTTTTCTTCTACCATAAAAAAAAACGTAGAGTAAATGATCCATTTCTTTTTTGTGATGAGTGACAAGACTTCTTGAATACATAAATGTTCTTTCTTTGTCATTATTATAAAGCATATGAGACCGACATATAATTAATAGTTAACTGTTAGTAGTCGTTATTTAAAAGTGATCTCAAAAATTTTTTCGGAACATAACTTATTTTCAAAACTCCACAAATTTACAGATGACGATACAAGTAAAATTAGACAAATCAAATTAAATGTCAACCGGTTGATCGCAGCCCACAGTTAAAATATATATATATTTAAATAAATGAATAATAAAGCATGAATATGTATATCGTAGTCAGTGAACATCTGCCACAACCGTGCTATTACGATATCGCTTGTTACTAACCTTGTAAGATGAAATGCAAGCGAAAATTTTCAGCTAGAATTTCATTTTGTTTCAGTCAGTTGCCATATAAAGCTAGAACAACTTATTACATATCATACAAAATTATGCTAGTTAGTTTTAGCTAAATACTAAGAATTAAATATACATAACAACAGGTCCAAAAACTAGTCGAGAAATATCTGCACTCCTTCGAAAAATTTTACGGAATTTCGCTGTACCCTCTCTGCTTATTTGTATTTTAACATCAATATTTTCCGTTATCTTTCAAAGATTCTGCCCCCACAGAATAAAAATAATCAACAATAATGAATAAGATACTTTTTAAGAAGAAATTTCCCAACTTATTGTTCACATATTCACATATTTCTTGGTCATGAAGAAAGAAAAAATCAATTTCATTATGATTCCATCCCTACTTTACAGCGTTTCATCAAAATTATGTTAAATCAAACTGAAAAAATAATGCATGAAGAAAAAAGATAGGACTGTAAAGTTGAGTACTTAAATGGATACTTACTTTCGTAAAGATACGAATTTATAAAATATGCATAAGCAATTAAAACAGAACAATTATTATTTAATATTCAGTAGCAGAAAAATGTGGAATTACCAACATTTAAATAAAATAATTTTTTCCTTATTCAAAAGATCTTTTGAACAAAGATACGAAAAGGAGAAAACAATTTTATTTTCAAATCTAAAGTGAAAAGTTACGTCACGTCGATATTCAATTACAATTATTTGAATTGTAATTTAAAAACTGCAAATTTCCACAGAAAGAAGTATAAATTGTCTGGAAGAGAAATTTTAAGGAATTGGGTAAAGATGTGTGATGGTCCATTTGTTTTATTTGCAGATATTATGACTTTTCAATTTCAATAAAATAAACAGTTAATAATTTGAACAATTCACAGAAGTTTGAGAACTTGCTCACATGCAGGTTCCAAAACCGTGCAGTTTTTTAAATCTCGTTTAAAATCTAAAACTCAAAGCAATGCAAAGGAGGAGAAATTAATAACAACATGAAAATTCTTTCTGAAGCAAACATTCTATAAATTTTTGAAGAATATTTTTTCGACGTTAAATTATGGTAGCAACAATATAAATCGCTTATCTAAATCCGCAAATCAATTAATAGTTTAATAGAACATTTCCTTGTAAATCTATAAAACAATTTTGAGTCTCATATTTTTTCTTTATAACAAAAAAATCTAATCAACATTTCAAGATACGCAAAAAAATACAAACAGTAGAGCAGAATACCCACTGTAATTTGTTGCTGATTATCAGTCAGGTTTCGCGTTCAAAATAATGATTTGCAAACATCACAATCTAAATAAAATAGTAAAACAAGGAGCAAAATACATTAAAAACTTAAGATAACCTTTTAAATACTCATATATAAATTATATCTGAGCATACAAACAATTACATAAAAGCATTTTACAAATAAAATACAGTTCTCAGAGTAAAGTGAAAATAGAGGTTTCTTTTGATTTCTTCACATGTATCAGCAAATCAGTTCCATCACTAAAACTTCACAAATGTCGCTGACATGATAAGATGGAATATGCAAATTATTTGACCTTACTTTGTTTACACATGTTAAGATTCTTTAACGTCAAAATGAAACTAAGAACCAGTGCATCGTAATACATTCTTACCTAAACAGTGTCAAGCAAAGTACAGCTAAATACCGGAATAAAAAATAATATAGGTATTCATTAACTCCTTTTTTCATCATTTTTTTGATTTTTAGCAGACAATTTTGAATGATTTACACATCTATGACCTTGAACATGCTCTACAGACTCATTCATGCTAGTTGCTACCATTACTACAACATCTGCCACTAATTACTGCTTGAAATGTACGCTTTATTCCTCTCATGAAATTATCCTTTATGAAAACAATCAATCTGGAACCTCATGGATTCAGTGACTCTTATGATAACGATAAAGAAACACACATTGCTCAAATTTAAATCAATATTTTTCAGAACGAATGTCAATACGAATCCATGTATGAATCCAAAAATCCTTCCAAGAGTAGTACAAATGAAATTTAAGATGGAAGATCTGGAGCGAAGGGACAAGTAATTATTACATGATATAAAAACTGATGATTGATAAGACTAATACATTTAAAACGATACTTATGCAAAAATTATTGCTATTACTCTTGACACTGATTACTTTCTGACAATGTTAAACAATAAAATAGAAAATATACTGCATTTGGAAATTTTCAATCACAACTAACAAAATTGACCGGTTTTTGTTCTGACAACAACGGTCAAATGAGAAATATGAAGTATCACTTAAAATTTTTCCAACCATCAACTTGCAAAATTTTCTTCACATTATATTTCGCTTAACAGAGATGGAAATAAGCATACGAAGATAGATGGTGTGAAGCTTTCAATTTACCCATGGGATAATGTTGGAAATGAAAGAATCTCGAAGTCGTTAAAGCTACAGCTGGCAATTACTTCAGAAATCACAAGATTTGACATTTTGATGCACATTGAAAATGTTGGATGATATAATCCGAGATATTTGAAGCAATATCTTATAAGATTTATTTTATAATTACGCCCGTGCTTATTTCTTGTGTTGTTGGAGCAGAAGTGAAAAAGGAGTCAGAACTTTGTGATTTAAACATATGATTAAAGAAAGCGGCACAAATTACTTCAGCATTCCTAATTAGACTTTTCATTCTTATGAAAGCAATGTTTAAAAATACATTTCGAAAATTCCGTGACCGAAAATCCTCAATAAACATGAAAAATTTGTATGAAACTGCCAGTTATTTTGCCAGCAATATCAATATGCTAGGCTGTACTTGAGATGTTGAAAATGTATACTGACTATGAAATGCAATAAACACTCAATTTCTAATTGCAATTAGCAATATATAAACAAAAACTTATGCATGTGCTATTGAATGCTGCATACTGATGTGTGCATCTTAAACTAATTTTTTTCAGTGAACAAGAATTTGAGCATCGATAAATAAAGGAAAGTTAGGATGAGGAATTATTTCACATTTTAATTAATTAGTTCAGGATGAACACATTAGTATGCACATATTAGATTATTCTATATTCAACAAATTTCATTTGCAAGAATTAATGCCACTGAAATATTTAAATTCCAGGTGTAAAGGACATATAAGTAAATAAAATGTAAAGTTAATAATTTAACAGAAGGTTCCAAGCTTATTATGAATATTTTTCTGCATGAATTTCAATGAACAAACAAAAATAGTTTCATTTATTTTCAGAACTGATCGATTTTAAAACAAGATGATGGTCAAATTTATGAACAGTACTCAAAGAGAGACTGACACAAGCTGACATACTAAAGCTGTTTAAAAATGAGGAAAAATGTGGTGAATACAACATGCAGTTCTCAACAACTGTTTTATATCTACTTATGTTCAATAGTTTGACCTAAATTGATGTTGGAGTCACGAAACAAATACATGTCAAATTTAATTATAAATATGAAATAGTGTTATCATTTTTATTTAATTTAAAATTCTGGCAAACTTTGTAGTGCAGTTAAAATGGATAGCAAATCTGAAGTGTTTAGATTTGTAGATAATTTTGCCTTACGAGATCCATATTCGCTAATAATTTTTTGTTTTAAAAGTCTCAAACATACCAGCAAAGATTCTGTAACACTGCTTAGATCACAAACTTAAAAATGTGGACAAGAATTTTTTGAAATCTAAATGGAATTTGTATAAATATATGTGAGCAAACATGTATGAGCTGATTAATTTTTGCATATGCTACATAAAAATCAGCGTAATCCTAGAATTCTTCCTG